CGGTGTGCAACATATAAAAAAATTATTTTACAATACAGTACCAGAACATTCCGCTAGTACATGTTATGATTATAATCCCACACCATTTTTACTATAATAAAATGGTGAGGGATTATAATCATAACATGTACTAGCGGAATGATCTGATATTGTAAAATAATTTTTTTATATATTGCGCACCGGGTGAAGGATCAGTTGTGTAACATCGACGGTTCCTCCTGTTTGTTTCTTGTCAGTTTTTTTATTTTTCTAGATGCTGCATAATTCATTTTTCGATCCTGAAATTGTTGAAGTCCGCCCTATGTAGTGATATTTAATTGGTCCGGAAGATTTGGGTTACATGAGCTCAAACCTTTTTTTCAATATTGATAAGATCTCGTGTAACATACCACTTATATGTAATGTTATTAAACAATAGAAGAGATTTTAACAATGATAATGATTAGTAATTATTACTATAATTTCCTTTTTTTTGAATTCTACCACCATCATATGCGTGCGATGCTTTTCGTTTTCTCTAATTAAATACACTTTTACTCATTACTACTTCGTATTACTTGAAAAAACAATGCAAATTAAAGAGAAAATTGCAATAATAACTGGTGGTGCGAATGGTATAGGTGCTGCTTTAGCTCGGCGACTTGTTCTAGAAGGGTTTGTAAAATAAATAAATGTTATATTCTATTTTTTTTTTTTATTTGATTTCGTTTTTTTTTTAAAACCCCAATTTTTTAAAATAATATAGGGCACAAGTAGTTATTGGTGACATTGATAAAAAATCAGGCCAAGAACTTGTAACTGAGTTGAATCAAAAGTATTTAAATTTAGATTCTTTTATTTTGACATATTATAAATAAAATTTAATTTTCATCTTATAAAATTTAGTAATAAAATTAATGCGATCTTTGTTTATTGTAATGTGACAAATTTCGATCATTTACATCAATTATTTGATACTGCACAGAATAAATTTGGTGGAATTGATGTAAATACTTTTTTTTTGCTAAAAAATTATTGTCGCTGCTGATGCTGAAATTGGATAAATAAAGTGGATTTTATTAGGGGCTTATATCTTCAAATCGAGACCACAAATTTTAGCATCAGCCGTGACAACTATTTTGATTTATTTCTAATGAACAATTAATTTAACTTTTTTTCCTAAAAAGATTGTATGTAATAACACTGGGATTGGACAACCTGGCGAATTTTTTGATCAAACTGGTTAAGTAAATTATATATTATTTAATGTCCATTCATGCATAAAATTTAACTTATGAATTTAAAATAATAGATAGTTGGATAAAGACTGTCGATATTAATTTAAATGCTGTAATCAAAGGTACACAAGTAGGAATCCAATTTTTAAAAAAACGTGGTGGTGGTGTTATCATTAATACCGGTTTGTAATAAACAATATTAAATAATAAAAAAAAATAACAAAAATTCAAAATAATTTATTTTATTTGTAGCTTCAATTGCTGGATTTAATCCATCAAAATTATTACCAATGTATAGTACTACAAAATATGGTGTATGTTTAAAAATCTTTTAAAAAATATGAATTTGCAATCATATTATGTTTATATTAATGAACTTTTTTTTTTATTTGATAACAATTATTAGGTTGTTGCTTTTACACGAGCATTACGCGAACTAAATGTTACTGATAAAATTCGCGTAAATGCTGTTGCTCCTGGATTTGTAGGTAAGTTAAAAGAAATCTATTTTTATTATTTTCTTTATCTTGTTTTTTTGTAATTTGACAATTATCAACCTAATATAACTGATAAACTTAAATGAATAATCAGATACAAATTTAGTGAAAAGAATGATCAAAACATTGCCTACAACTGCAGAAGCAATTGAGAGATTAGGAGGATATATTCCTATTGATATAGTGATTAATGCTTTTATAAAGGCCATTCAAGATGATAGTCTTGCGGGTGATATTATCTTAATTCCTAATAAGAATGATTCTCAAATCGTGCCAAAGTCATTATTGTAGGTTTTAAGATCGAGTAGATTTTTGATGATACCATTTAAAGTTTTTGTACACATAGAATCTTTATTCTTTCTTTTTTTTTAACTAAATCTTATAAACATCTGAAATTTGATAATTTTTGTTGTTATGATGATAAAATTTTTTATAAGGTTTATTAATTAATACCAGATACTGAATAATTGATGGTATTAATAAAAATAAATTTAGTTTTCTGTACAATATCTCGATATAATTCTCTCTTTAAAATCATTTAATATTATGCTTATCAATTACTCAAATTATAAAATTGGAACAGCTTGATGAGGCAAAAATGAAATAATAATGACAAAAAAAATAATTTATTTGAAGTTTATAATGCAAATAGTTAAGATATACCAACATTAATGCTATACTAATTTACTTTGAAAGTAACATATATATATAATAAAGGCCAAGACTAGAAATTAATTTACACTAGTAACTGTAATGATTTAAGAGATAACCCTGACTGCAAGTGTTAGGCAACCAAAGTGTAAAGTAAAAAGGTCTAGATAATAAAACAAAATTCTAATAAACAATATATAAAGTAGATTAGTAACACAACTAAAAAGAGATACGTAATGTTGAAATCTAGATCAACAAATCAGTGATGGCAACAGGAAATTGACTTAAGATATAGGTTAAAAATATCAGTAGTAAAATTATCTGAACTAAGAACCTAACAATAATAGCAGAAACCTGATTTGAAATATAGGCTAGGAGGCACTCTGCATTGTAAAACAATAATAAGCAGACCAAAAATCATAGCTTATAAGAATTGGATTCTGATAAAACCAATTTTGAAGTTATAAAACTTAAAAATAATATGCAGAAAGGATTTGATATAGCTAGAGGTGAAACAAAAAACTAAGTTAGTAAATGCATGAAGTACTAAAAGCATTGGTAGATTTAGGTCAATAGATAAAGTAGTCTAAGACTTTGTATTTATATGTATAAAATGTAATATGCATGCAATAAACTTGTTTTTACATAATATACCAAATGTCTCACCTTGTTTATAAGTAGCAAAATGTACAGTCAACTCTCTCTAAGTGCAACTCGCCGGGCTTATAAAAATTTTAATATAAAAAAAAAAATAAACCTTGCATTTAGAGAGAAGTTGCATTTATAGAATATAAAATTTATATTGTTTTATATATTTAGGGTCAAAAAAAGCTCTTGCATTTAGAGAAAATTTTATTAAGCATTGCACTTAGAGAACGTGCACTTAGAGAGAGTTGACTGTATAAATAATCTCAATTTTAGTAGAGTTAATAAAAAGTAACTGTGTTTTGATACATGAATAATTCAATGTAATTCATACACAAGTTATATGTCTAATATATATTTAGTTATTTGTCTCTTTCGTAATTGCAAATCCACTTTATTACTAAAAGTAGTTTATTGATATATAAACATACAATTATTAAATAATGAACACAGTACAATAATTATTGTCGTGGCAGTTCAAGTGTCACAGAAATTATAAACTTATCAGAAAAAAATTTCTAATGTAGCAAAAGCTGAAATTCAACTAAATAATAGACCAACACAATTTAAATTATCAAGATAATGGGCATTCTCAAGCCTCAATCTCGATGTGATTAGCTAATGATCATAATCGAGCACAACTAATTTATTCACTGACACTTTTTGTCCCATTGATTAAGGCGCTTGAGAATGCCCAAAGTTACATACGTACAATTTTGTAACTTTATTTGATCAATTATGCCGAAATTACAAACTTAACCGAATTGGCCAAAAATCATTCTTGTTAGGTGTTTCAGGAATTATGATAATATCTGTAAAAATTGTTCCAGGATTCTGATCCGAATTATATTAGTCATGGGCATAATTGTTCTAACCTTCTAAACTACAGAACTAAACGATCAAAGATAGTTAAATGTGTAAACCGTCAGAAAAAAATCCATATTATAATTGATAAACAACTAATTAATGAATAATAAATGAGCTGACGAATGTCTGAATAAAATCATTAATATGGGTATTATATTGTAACAAAAATCATGTACAATTGGATATAGTTTGATAGATCAATCATGACAATTTTGTCCATAAAACGATTTAAGGGATAAGACATAATCATTAGAAGGAACTTTATATTTTTCGTTTGCACATGTTTGAAAATTTATTCTAGACCAACATTTTAAATAAAAAAAAGAGCTCGTTTTATTAATGATATATATATTAATAATGTTCTTTATTGATATGCAATTGCGAAAAAAAAGAATCTCGCCTCCAGTGATATATTTTCGACCAATCAGGTTTTAGGATCTCACGTAACCAGCAAAATATTTTACTATGATTTCTAACCTTTGGTACTAATTAATGGTTTCAGCGCAAGATTTTACGTATAACTAACCCTAACCTTAATCTTAACTTTAAACCCAGTTCTCTATAATGTAATAACAATCACTGGTGGTAAGATTTAGTAAATTTCAAAAAAAATTCTAGAAACTAAAATTTTCGTTATAAAATTTAATAAAATACACGATGAATATTATGGTTAATATTTTTCAATATATTCTTACTTTTAAAACTAATTTTGTTATCATAAAAATTCAAGGTAATTAAAGTGTTATTTTTATAAAGAGCCTCTGCTAATGCTTTTACACCTTCAGAGGTAATTTGATTGTAAGAAAGACTTAACAAAGTTAGAGAAGTATTTATATAAAGAGCTTCTGCAAATGCAATTCCACCTTTGTCACCAAGATAATTACCGCAAAGATTTAAAGAAGTTAGTGTAGTGTTTGTATAAAGTGCATTTGCTAATGCTTTTCCACCTTCAGCACTAATGCCATTATCACCAATACTTAAAGAAGTTAAGGTAGTGTTTGTGCATAAGGTCTTTGCAAATGCTTTTCCACCTTCATCATCAATAAAATTAAAGCGAAGATCTAAAGAAGTTAGAGTAGTGTTCTTGCATAGAGCCTCTGCAAATGCCTTTCCTCCTTCAATATCAATGAAATTACCGTAAATATTTAAATAAATTAGTGTAGTATTTACACAAAGTGCATCTGCTAATGCTTTTCCTCCTTCAGCATTAATGTTGTTATTTTCAAGATTTAAAGAAGTTATAGTAGTGTTTTTGCATAGAGTCTCTGCTAATGCCTTTCCTCCTTCAGCAGTAATTTTATTATTAGAAAGATTTAAAGAAGTAAGAGTGGTGTTTTTACAAAGTGCATTTGCTAATGCTCTTAAACCTTCAATACGCACTCTGCAATTATTGCTAAGTTTTAAAGAAGTTAAAGTTGTGTTTATATAAAAAATTTCCGCTAATGTTTCAAAATCAACAAAATTAAAGGAAATGTTTAAATAAGTCAGTGTAGAATTTTCACAAAACGCTTTTGCTAATGCTTTTCCTCCTTTAGCATCGATATTATTATTCAGAAGACTTAAAGAAGTTAGACTAGTGTTTTTGCAAAGAACCTTTGCTAGTGCTTTTTCTTCTTCGAAATGAAGTTTATTGTTATTAAGAGATAAAGAGTTAAGTGTATTATTTTTGCTAATAGCTTCTAATAATGATATCATTCCTTCGGAATCTAAATTATTCTCACATAGTTCTAAAGAGTTAATAGTATTATTTTTGAAAATACTTTCGATTATATTCTTATAAATAACCCCATTAATATATAAATATTTCAGTTTCTTACTTGTTCTTAGGAACATTGCAATTAAAGAAATTTTAATAGCAATTTCAAGTTTATCATCTCTCCAATTACAATACTTTTGTTTATTATATTTAACCCAATTTGCAATTCCATCATTTAAAAGACGACCAATAGACGTAATATAACTTGTATATTCAAATAATAGTTTTGGATAATTTGGACGGATTATTTTAAAGGGAGTTAATAATTCTTGTTCTTCTGCATTTAATGCTAAAAGACATGTATCTATAAGTTTTTTGTTATTTAGTTTGTCAGCTATTTCACTCCATAATATTGGTATGATTATTCTACTCCAATGACGGTTTACAAGAAGGCATGAATATAAGCTTCTATGATCAAGCAAGAGATTATCAAATACTTTGAAAAGACATTCATTCGGTAGTTTTATCATTTTAAAATTTGGATGAATTTTAATGATAAAAACGTGTATAGGTACGAACTTACGAACGTACGTATACATAATAAGCATGAAATGCAGTGAAACATTTTGTTGTTACATAAAGCATGACGTTAAGGTTATTATCGCGAGGATCTTCACATGGAACTTCACATGTGAAAATAGGCCAAAGCCGTATTACGAAATATCGATTCTATTAAAGGAAAGAAGTAAGGAAGAAAATAAGGAAAAAGAAGATACGGTATATAAGATAAGAGGGAAGAAGGAAATCGATAGTTCCTTTTTTCTTCGCTACCTGACTTCTGTCTGACTCTTTCGTAGTGCTCCCACCTGGTCCCCCGGGAAAATATATATATTGACAAATATATTAAGGGTATTAACGAACGCAGGGAAATAAGAGTAGCTCAGGAACCTGCTTATCGACGAAGAAATAGTTCGCTCAGTGACTGGTCATGGGATGCTTGGTATTAAGAAAATATATATTTGAGGGAAATATTGTATTTAGTCTTGAATAATTGGGAGGAAACTTGAATAAGGAATGGGTAGTTCGGGAACGTGCTTATGGACGTATGAAGGAGTTCGCTCAGTAACTTGCTTCCTGACTCTCGCTCTCGCATACATAGGAAAAAAATAATAATAATAAATGTTTACAAAGTTGTACTGTACGTGATTCTCTTCGTTTTCGCTATGTTACCATGTCAAATAGTTTAGTATGCATATAAGTAACCCGGTAGTCTGTAAAGTATACAACGTAAAACGATAGGGCATGTAAAGAGCGCAACACGGCACAACTCCCATTGTGTGTTTTTATTAACATAATAAATTGATCTGAGCGAGAATAATATTAGGTGATAATCATGAGTTATAATTTAATTAGTACGAAAAAGCATTCATTC